TAGTGGTTTGGTTTTTGGTTTGGTAATTTGATGTCATAATTCTCCTCATTGTCAGATTTTGACATTGGCAGCTTTGATCAAGACAAGAGAGTCCTTGAACGAAAAATCGTAGTTCGGGTTTTAGTTTTAAAGCACAAAGAGATTAACAAATCTGATGCACAGTGTTATTCGAACGTTGATTTTCGATCACACAGGTCATATATCGGACGGTTTCGGCGAAGACGGAACAATATAATAATATTAATCTCTTTTGTGGTCTTGGCATTGGCTTGTTCGGAAAACGGTTAATAAATAATAGTAAATGGTGTAGAAGTCATAATTGCGCAATGTCATCAAATTAATTTCGAATCGATCATGTTGAAACAAATCTTAGGTAAGTAAGTCATTTAAAAGTTGTAATTCTGCATACGGACTTTAATTATATTTGAATACGACCCTGCTTAGTCAACCATTTAAGCCACGCCCAGTGGGGTCATTTTTAATAAAACGTATCATAAGCAAAACAATTGCCTCATGGCATCTTCATTAGTATTATACCTCCATGATGTAATATCATTTTGCTAGAATAATGGTAGGTAGGTACTGGAACAATTTTAAAAAGTAATTTCGAGAAAATCAACTTTTAATATCATCATTGTATTTAACTTTTTTATTGCTTAAATTATTAATAATGTCATTTTGTGTAGTTCGTTGTTATTTGTTATTTGTTATGATATAATCTTGAAGAAGCATTTTCGACAGGTCTTTTACACAAAGCATGTTTTCACCATATTATTAGAGATAATAAATCTTAAATATACATTTACAACCCTTACAACGTTATAAATAATTATATGGCAGAAAGTGTCAGAACTGGCGCTGTTAAACTTGGCAACGCTGATTAAACCAATTACAAAAGAGGGATTTCCCCCCTCGGGGGAGTAGATGTTGATTACAAAATTAAGCGCGGAGAAGGGGGATGACTCTCTAGTAGTAATTGTTCGGTGTTGCTCATAGTCTAAACAAAATCAAAAGCTTGTAAATTTTAATAAATGTTCTTGCAACCGGCTATGTGTCTTGTTATTGTGTGATAGATGAGAGTTCTCAATATAAACAAAAGTTTTGTAGCAGTTCACGTAATAATTACTAACAAATTAATTTTATTAAAAATGATTTAAAATTACGTCGATTAAAGCCTCTTAATATTTGTGCAATAATATAACCAAACCATATTAAGGCGTTGATAGTATTCTCGAACGAGTGCCAATTGTTTTTTCTCTTATTAAGTGTAAGTACCCTTTGAACAGTAAAATATCACACGTGCAAAATTATCTAAGAGTTAAGCAGGTTCTTTAGCAATTTAGCTTTCACTTCGTGTAAATGCTGAACTTTACTAACGCGATGTTGTTTTTTTTTGAGACAGCGCTATGCGTTATGAACACGCAGCCGACATTTTCAAAAGAAAAAACATGTCTAGCATGCAGGATCGGATTTAAAACAGTTTACGGTTTGGATGTATTATTTGAAAAATAACAGAACTACCTATTACATATTTTATGATTCAATTAGGCATTCCAACGACCTGTCCAAATGGCTGCCATTGGGGACTGACAGTTTAGATGTGGCAACCCTGTTGTCATGTTGTTACTAACAGTGTCAATGATACATATATAGTTATATAGATTGCTCAAAGCTGGTCGTTTGCGAGAGGCCATATTGTCTGGCAAATATTAATTCATTTGAATCGGTTTAGCAAAAATGTGTTTTAAAATCAATTTTCAGCCTTTGGATATTTAAAAAAAAATAATTGCTTACATTTTTTACTTCAAGGTATAAGTTTATGTTTATTTTGAAAAATATGGATGACCAATCTGTTTAACTACCTATTTCATTGACCTTGTCAAATCACCAGGCCTACAGGGTTGCCATAATTTTGCCATATCAAAACCCACTGGTAGCCATTCAGTTTGGAATGCCTAATTATTTTCTACTATGAAGACTAGAGATAAGGAGGCGGCGAATCAGCATACATGAAATACGGTCTCAAAAAACGAACGCTAATCGAGCTTTTACAATTTACCGCAGGGGCGCTGGTGCTGCTAGTGCTGTTAAAAACCTAATTTAACGTGACGTCATTATTTGGTCCACATACTTTGATTACTATACGGGGCAAGAGAGAGGTCCGACACGCCCAACATAGGGCGCGGCCATTTTGAACCCTATGACACAGTTCATAGCTAAAGAATCAGATCGCTCACTCTGCGTCGGCACTTTTTATCTCAATGTTCCAGTTTATACACTGCGCAACTCAGATAATACAATATATGACAACCGGCTATAATAAAACAGCAGTCTTCTGCGTATCCTGAATTTGTATCCCTGGAGTGGATGTTATTTTGGAATTTTCAACTGGTCCGAGTGAGCTAACTGATTCTTTAGCAATAAACTGTGACTCCAAAAATAACATTCACTGACAGCAGTAAGCAGAATATCAGGTGCGTTTAAATCATCCGCTTCTGCTTCCGGAATTGTCGGTTTAGTCGTTTTAACCTGTCAGATTAAAACAAGGAAAACCGACAATTCCGAACAGAAGCGGATGATTAAAACGCACCTATTAAAAATATTGCGCCTAGATGTAGGCAACACGTAATAAGGGTTCAAAATGGCGGAGTTTTCTATCTCCTTTTAAAAGGCACTCAGAAAGCTGCGCAGTGCGACCATTCTCCGTATAGTAAAAGAAAATCAAAGTATGTGGAACTGACCACTGATCTATATTATTTTACTGGATAGGATATTCGCGATTCAAATTAATTTTCGCGCGCCTGTCATTTATCACGTATAAGTAGGATGTTTGTTTATTTACGTGTTGTGGGATTTTGTATTTGTGATTTTTTAACTGTTTTTAGATAATATTCTTTCATTTAGTGTTAATTTAAGTTTAGTTTTCGTGGTTTCGTTATAAATGTAATAGGTATTTTTCATGTGTAGTATGAACTAATTTGTTGGAAATATTGACCTATTGGTTGCTACAAGAACATCTAGAAATATGTATTTACTAAACCAAGGACATGTTTTATTATGTGGTTTTAAAGGACATATCAGGTACCAAACGTTTATTATTGATGAACTTCTTTAAAAATCTTACTATCCTTATTCTTATATCATGAAGTGAATTGTGTAGTACTTTGTATACATGTAAATGGTAATAAAACCGTCACAACTCATATTGGAGATTTATTCTAAACAACGTTTTGCAAAATTTCAATATTGTGAATTTGTAGATACCCATTTATCGTAAGAAACAAAATTTTATGACTTACACTTGAAAAATAATGAATACTTCAGTTTTGATTTTGACAATAACACCATATAGATTGCAATTTGCTGGAGGCTTTTTCGCAGATTTCATTTTTAATTTAAATACTATCACATACTATAAGAAATAAACGAATTTAAAGCTAAAAAGTAACAAAAAACTCTAATTGTAATTGATACAAATTAAAATGTAAACAATGAACACGAACGCCAATGTTGCCAAATGATGAACTGATTTTGTCTCAGACTGATTTTAAAACTAAAATTAATAAATGAACTGAAATTTAAAAAAAAAATCAATATAATAAATCGATTTTATAAAAAAATCCTCAAATAAATAGTATGATTACATATTACTAGACACAAATTTTGATTCTTAAATAAAAGTTCTTATTCATTTCGTCAAGAACTAAAATCCGACGACGTAACGAAATTTTGCTGCTTCTGGCAACACTGAACGTCATCCTACTTATAGGGACCTTCTACTAATTTCCTCCAGAGGGCGTATCACTTAGCTTGAATCGCGAATAGGCCAGTGGAATAGGCTATATTTAACATACTAAAAATCCGTTCCACCAAGGAGACCGGAAGTGCAACACTGCTGGCCGATTTGGGCAAATTATGGTGGGATCACATAACTGAATTTTGGGATAATTTGACATACCTAACCTATAATTTGATTAGTTTTTCTTCTTATTCTTCTTCTTCTTCTTCTATTCCTTTTGCGGGCAATGTCCTTCGGGACAATTCACCCATAATTTGATTTTTTTTATGAAAGAAAATATAAAAAATGGAAACGTGAAGCATATTGTGTCTTCACGAATATAGTAATGCTATTCGATACTACCTAAATAAATAAAAGAAACATCTCATCGTAACTTGTTGACACAATTAAATGAAAAATGTGATGACAAATGGAAATAGAGTTTATGTTAAATAACATCCGGTCCGCCATATTATTTGCCCAAATCGGCCAATTTTTCGGAAAGTTTTTTAGAGGGCTATATCCTATCCAGTAAAATAATACAGATCAGTGGAACTGACAGTATAGATATGGCAACCCTTTGGGCTTGTTGTCATTGACAGGGTTAATGATATATATTATATAGATTGCTCAAAGCGAGTCGTTTGCGAGCGACCATAATCCTTGGCAAGTGTTCATTTATTTGAATCGGTTTAGCAAAAAAGTGTTTTAAAACCAATTCCAGCTTTTGCATAGTAAAATAAAAATAATTACTTACATTATTTTTACTTCAAGACATAAGCTTATGTTTATTTTTAAAAACATGGATGATCAGTCTATATAACTATCTATATGATTGATGCTGTCACCAGACCCACAGTATTGCCATATTATAACCTATCATGTGCCTGCCAGTAGTCTGTCATTTCCTATGGGTAGCCATTTTGTTTGGAATGCCTAATAGGAAAATCAGACACAAATGCAAGACATACAAACGCTTTTTTATGAAATACTTATTAAAAGTAGTAACTGATGGAGAGAATATTATAATGATCTTTTAGCTAATAATTTCATTGTAAATAAATTTCGATACTTGGACAGATACCGAGATGTACCTTTTTGTTTTTTGACGCTGTCATTGAAATATAACCTTTGCAAAACATACACCAATATCTTACCAAAAATTATGAAAGTTAACAGTTCGTCTCGTATAATTCACCTATCAAAATTAAAAGTGTAATTAATGACAGATACGCAGTCAGCGTTATTATTGAGAAAACAGCTTGCAGAATTGAACGAAAACCCGGTAGAAGGTTTTTCAGCAGGCCTAATAGACGACAACGACATCTACAAATGGGAAGTGCTGATCATAGGCCCGCCAGATACCCTCTACGAAGGCGGTTTCTTCAAGTGTCACCTGTACTTTCCCAAGGAGTATCCGCACAGGCCACCAAAGATGAAATTCGTCACCGAAATTTGGCATCCCAATATAGACAGAAACGGGGATGTGTGCATTTCGATTCTGCACGAGCCTGGAGATGACCAGTATGGCTACGAAAAAGCCTCGGAAAGGTGGTTGCCCGTGCATTCGGTAGAAAGTATCTTATTGTCTGTTATTTCCATGTTGGCTGATCCCAATGATGAGTCACCGGCCAATGTCGATGCTGCTAAAGAATGGCGGGAATCGTACGCTGAGTTCAAGAAAAAGGTAGCGCGCTGTGTTCGAAAGTCCCAAGAGGAAGAAATGTAA